GATACATTTTTGCCGCGAATTGTGTGTATGTGTGAGAGATGAGTTAGTGAGAGAGAGTTAGCTTTTGTTGTAGTCTGTGTGTTATTGTGTGAGAGAGAGAGTAGGCCGTCTATGTTTACGATGGCTTGTACTAATTGGGTTTGTGTGTCTATGTGTGGTTAATGTGGTCTTGTGCTCATTTACTAATCGCGGTGTTTGAATTGAATTTATTATGAGTATAATACCCACCGGTATTTTGTGTGGTGTCGTGTGTGATGTAATACAGAGTGTGTGTCTCGTACAGCGTCGTCTTATGTGTGTTTCGAAGTAAGTCGTTGTTCTTTTGTCTTTGTCGATCGGTAATAGGATGTTGTTTGTACATTAATTAGTGACAGATTGTCGTTTGTCCGAGAGATTGTAGTGGTTTGGTGTATAGTCACGTGTCGTATGTCGTTTGACTATTTTGGTATACTTTATTATGTGGGTAAACGACTGTGTGTCGTGTGTGTGTATATTACGAGTCTTAGCAGACTCTGTGTGTTTGACTCTATCACGTACTATTGTATATGAACTGAGTATTTTCTCAGGAAAAATTATTTGTCATTGTGTGCTCACGTGTTGGTGGTTCAGAGAGTGTAGGTAGTTCGTGTACTTACTCGTTGTGGAAGAGCCGCCTGTTCATGTAACTGAATGTGCGTTATTTTGCTCTAAAGTTCAGGACAGTAGGACTTCAGACTTTCAGAAATTATGCTGGTAGCTCTTTACAGTCGACTTGTGCAGAATGTTTACGTTAGGCCTGAAGAGACTATAAAAATTAATGAGGTTCGCGGTTTGTACATCCGACACTCGGTCGGCGCTCGACCAGCGCGCGGCACGTACAGCGCGCAAACTAATGCAGTAGTGTCTTAATCAATAGGGTTGCATTGGGTAAGTGAATGTAAGCCACTATCACTCAGCCGATCTTGTGAGAGCCGGTTTCGGTTTCCCGGAAGTTGTACTATTAAAGAGCAGCAAGGTTTTAAGCCACCTAGGGATATATCTGTCAACTTGAGTTTTCTTAAAAGTAGACTGGGGAACGCGTCCGCCGCGCTTCGTAGGCAAGACAGAAAACAGAGGAAAAGAGGACCTGTTGACTGCACGACGGGCTTTAGAGTCTGGTCAAAAACCTCTTTCAGATATAAGAAACCATTCATAAATATCACAAAGTCATCCATCAGAAGGTCATCATAATTCTTTGCATCGTGACATTACAGGTTCATTAGGGAAAGAGTATGTCAGTTATAGCTGTTCTTATAACTTTGGTGGCACAATATAAAAGAGACGCAAAAATCAAACATTTGCCGTTCGATCGGATACCGATCTACACGGGTCTATTGGAGACCATCGATCTTCGATCGGACGATGGTACACCGCTATCGTAACTTATGGACGACCTATTACCTCTTAGTCACACTATAATATAAATACTCTAATTACAATAAAAGTAACTTGTGTCATGTGGTTTTTAACTCAAATATAGGTTGGGTTTTTTTTTACGTTTCTATTTTATTTCACCGTACTCCATTCGCGGCGGTAAAAGATAGTATTACGAGTCCAGACAGGTAGAGAAGCCGGAATCACCGTCGTTCCGTCTCCTCCTTGACATCCTCAAGTCAACTCAAATCCGTGCCAGAAAAAAAATGACGGTTTATAAATTAGTTTATTCTCTATTATATATACACGACTCAGAAAATACCCCATTGGAGTGAGTGTTTCGTCCGTGGTGTTTTAACACGTCTTTGCATCCGGATCTTCAGATGAATAAACTAAGGTAACTGAAGAGTCTCATCAAAATTACGACGTATGAAAAACCGAGCTGAACTCCATATTGGAAATCTTTTCTCAGTAGTGAAACTTAAACAATCTAAACCCCAATAAAAATGAGGGCGTCAAGGGGGAATATATGCAGGAGGGTTTGAATTGTGTTACCGATTACGATTTCGATTGCGTCTTGGTGCAGTTGAACATTATTTCGATTTCTCTGTCCTTCCGATTGAATATGTCTTCAATAAATGGTCGCAACAGGGATGTCACGTCGCCCGAAGGTCATTCACACAGAAGACAAGACACTTTTACAATTCTGTGCCAGCGGTGTGCCAAATTGCACGCGCCCGTGGTCTCGGACGGGGGTTAGAAAAAAACGACGTCTATGAGGACGATTCCTGTTAGCTAGACTAGAAAAGACCAGAAGTCTGTTGGCGAGACAGCGTTGGGTGTAGTTGATTTAAGACAGGGGACTAAACAGGCTGGGACGAAGACCGAAATCAACCACTGTTGTAGTTGTGGTCCTCCCTCACGTAGGACTCTTCGGAACTTATATGGGATTGACTTCTAGGTCTGAGCAAGAAGTTCCTCTATAGACCATTCAAAAATATATGTTATTAAAAAGGTACATTCGCAACTTGTCACAATGGCGATTAAATAATTATGCGTACCGGTACATAATATTACTCTTGTAGGATACCGTGTCGGTGGTAAGTAATGGTTCCGATCTACAGATATTACAGGTTGAAGAGCGAACACACATAATGAATCCATAGATTGGACACATAGGAACACTGATAATAATAAAACAACAAAACAAAGGGTAACATTTCCAGGGAACCCAGAGAACTTTCCGCGATATTTTTAATTTTATAATAATAATAATAGTTATTTATTTACTTTTTATTTATGTCCTTATTTATCCTTTTTTATTTATTTATTACCTATAATTACTTATTTATTTACATATGGTAATTAAGTCCCTATTTATTATTTATTTACGACTTTATTTATGTAAATTCTTATTTTTTACATCTTTATTCATACCATTTTACGTATTTATTTATTTATACCGTTATTTATTTGCATAGTTAATTATGTCTTTACTTATTTATGTACGACTTTATTTATTTAAGAGCTTATTTATTTTATAACTTTTTGTATATCTTATTCATCGCACTTACCTAATTATTTATGTCTTTATGTACAAATTTAATAATGTCCTCATTTATATTTTTATTATTTATCTAGGACTTTATTTATGTACTTATTTATTATTTATATCTTTATTTATCCATTTACATACTTATTTATTCATTTTCAACTATTCGTTTGTCCTGTATGTATCCTATTGATAGAAATAATCTAAATTAAATAAAGATGTAAAACATGTTGATAATAAAGACATAAAGTCCGAGACATACAACTATTCCAACCTCCAGGAATAGAGTTCAAATTTCGTCATAACAGTTAATCCAGCTCGGTCTGTCTTCGTTTAGACGAAGAGATTTGACGTCAACTACCAAATTCTTACGAATAAATAATAAGTATGTCAAAAGACAAACACCCCAAGTCGAAAAATGAATTGTATGCACAAACACAACAAAAGTCCGGAGGCGGCGACTGCTACGTCTCTCCCTGTAAAGGTTGTGTCAGTACCCCTAAATGTGCTAGGCTTCTTTGCCCCTACCCCCCGGTCTCCTGCACCCTTAACAATAGCTTCCGTAATTTCATTACCTTTTGCATCCGTGCGCAGTAACACCCTGAGTAGTACGAGAACCCCGAGTAAATACGGGAACTAGAGTCGAAGGGCCTGTTGGACTTCATGTGGAAACTCAAA